CAGTGTCGTCCCCGCACTGGACCGGGACCGGCAACGGGATCGCAACCCTCGGCGCTGCCCCCACGCCTCGCTCAGCCAGTGAGCGGGAACCGGTCTGTATGTGGGATCCGAACCCTCGGGCGGGAGCGCCGCCGCGCTTCCCAAGCGGCGCACTAGCGCAGTGCGCCACCGGGCCGGCCCCAAAGTAATACCTACTCTTTTTTTTTTTTTTTTTGTCTTTTTTCCATGTCCGGCAATGGATCGCAACCCTCAGTGTCGTCCCCGCACTGGACCGGGACCGGCAACGGGATCGCAACCCTCGGCGCTGCCCCCACGCCTCGCTCAGCCAGTGAGCGGGAACCGGTCTGTATGTGGGATCCGAACCCTCGGGCGGGAGCGCCGCCGCGCTTCCCAAGCGGCGCACTAGCGCAGTGCGCCACCGGGCCGGCCCCAAAGTAATACCTACTCTTGAGGTCAACAAATCTGCTTCTTTACTGGCTCCAGTCAAATGTTTCTTTGTTATGAACATATTAACAAGGCTATCACATTTGTCTTTTGGGATTTACAGCATTTAAGCTAATCTAGAAAAAGCATGTCATCTTAAACTTACTCATTCTTTGTCAGAAAGTTCTCTCTCTCTGATTAGGATATTTTTCCTAATTTACCTATTTCTATCACAACCAATACTGATTTTTACATGCAAGACCTTTTTTCTGAATATTTAAAAATCAAAAGTAAAACAGAGAAACTACAAACCTTAATCTGATAACCAGAGCAGATGCAAAAGTTTTTAAACTGTCTATAATAAAAGACACCCATACCTAACATTGTCAACATTTTGCTGTAGAGTAAAAACAGTATGTGAAAGTGCTCAAATCACCTTACAAACGTAAACTTACTGTTGTGATAAATGGCTAGGAATGTGCTTGATAAATTTTAAAAGGAAGTTCACATTCAGTATTATTAGCCAAATATATACTTAAAAGCATATAAATAGTACCATTCTACATACAAATTTTCTGCATTTATTTCAAATAAATGTGAATATGTTAGCTGAATTCACTGCCAAAAATGACTGATTACAGAAAATTGAGGCATTTAATTGTAGTCTGTTTCATAAAATGTACCTACAATATGCAAAATTTTAAGTAACAAAAATTATCCTAAAAGTTTGTTCTTTATTTCCAAGTCCACAAATTTTGTGAGGGCAGAAGGTATTATTGAAGATTATACTTCAAAGACATTTGCTATATCCTTGAATCAATACAGTTCTAGAGTTAGAAAATAAAAACCATTTCATTTGACATAATGAAGAGAAGTGATTAATTTTAACAGCTTTCAAAATTTAAGAAATGGGATTAACTATAAAGGAAACTATTTCTAATTCCTAACACTTTACAGAAGCCACTTTTAACAAACAGCAAATACAAATGACAGATGATCAAAGCTTGTTTCACATTCTCCATGGTTTTTAGATGAGTGTGGAACCCAGGGAGTATATCAGAATCACCTAGGGAACTTGGAGGGTATCCAACACAATTACGGACAGTCCCCAACTTATGATGCTTAAACTTAAGGTTTTTCGACTTTATGAAGATACAAAAAATATGGTGCAAAAGCAATACACATTCGGTATGCTCCTGGATTTACAATATTTTCAGTTTACGATGGGTTTATCAGGACATAATCCCATGTAAGTCAAAAAACATCTGTATATCAAAAATCTCCAAGGATGGAGCCCAGCATAAGTACTGTTTTTAAAGCTCCTCAAGTGATCCTGAATATTCAGCGAGTGCTGAGATCTACTGCTTTTCTTAGTTATGGTCTCTTTAGAAACAAATGAGAAAATTAATAAATTAATAAAGGATCGGTATACTAACATCAGGGGAGAATTACATAATGGAAACAATGAGAACACTGTTCTCACAAATCCTCTTCTCCCGTAATAAACAATTTCCGGCTATTTTTACGACTGCCATTTTTGGGCATAATAACTATTATTTCATAATCTGAATAATCTAATAAAAGTATTTCAAAATGTATTAACACTGTTCTTACTCGCTTTCAAGATTTACATTTCATTGAAGAGTATATATAAAAGAGAGAGCAATCCAAAACTTTTGGTACTCATCTTCTAATTCAACATAAGTAGATACAAAGTAAACCTAAACTTCTTTTTAGTCAATGTATGGCAGAGATAAAGATGTTTTAATTATATCTGAAGTATTAATTTACTGCAAAGAAACAAACTGTCCAAAAAATTGGAGATGTAGTTTACCTATATTTCTAGTGTGTTAAGACAGCACACACGACACAATGATTAGGTTATTGCACAGTCCTTTTTAATACAATTACAAACTCACCTGTGCAGCAAGATCAGGGTTCTGGCTTAGTGACTGCATCATGCTTCGCATGTAGGGGGCAGACAACATGTTTTGCATAAGTTGTGGGTTTTCAGTTATTTGTTGCAACAAACTCTGCATTCCTGGTGTGTTGAACATACTAGCTGGAAGTTTGTTTAAAAAAAAAAAAAGACATTGTTTTAAGGAAAAAATACATAAACAAATGTTAAAGCTTTAAAATACAATATATACACTGTGCTTAAGTTTATTAGCAACTACAGATGAATACACATATATCAATTGAACTAAGAATTTTAAAATGAAAAAGCTCTCTAAAGTACATGCCCAACATATACCAGTAAAAAAGTACAATTCTAAACCTTCTAGTTGCCTTGAGAGTAAAATCACATCTAAAGAAAGGGCTAGGTTCTAAAGTCAAATTAAGGTGAGACTTAGATACGGTCCAAATTACTGTTGGAAAGTCCCATGTAGTAAAGAAGTCTGAGCCAACTTTTCCTCCAGGATTGAAACAGATCACTTGATTAGAATCATATTCAGCACTCAATATGCTCACAGTTAAGAAAGAAGGAAGCCTTGACACCAGAGGGAACGACAGATGCAAGGCCTCCATCCCACTTTCATGGAGTACTGGCACTCACTGAGTGAACTCTCAGGCACATTTCACATGATAGACCGTAGAGCACGGTGACTAAGAGCAGCATCTGTAGCCCGATCACCCGGATTAAAATCTAACCTAACTACAGGCAAGTTATTTAGCCTCTTCATACTTCAGTTTCCCCATATGTAAAATGGAAAAAATAGTATCTACTTCATAGGGTAGTTGTGACAAATAAACTTGGTAACACCCCAAGTCCCCATTAACAATTACTCTCCTGTTTTTCCTGTCTTTTTTAGCCAAGAACTACAGCTGAATTTATGTGAATTCAATATGTGATGATTCAATTTAATATTTAGGCAAATTTTCTTCGAAAACTAACTAATTTGTTTACATTATACCCAGACTTTCAACTGCTGACTAGATACACTCAAACTCAAATATATTCTCAAACTTATGTCAACTTAATTTACTAGCTTTTTCATTTCCCTTTTGTTCTTCCATCCAGTAGTTTTACAGGCTTAAAACATTTGAGTCTTCCCATTTATCTCTCCAGTTTATTATAATACTGCTGTTTATGATACCTTTTGTTTTTCCTATTTTCTCATGTTGTAAACTTCAATTTAGATTTTTTCACATCCTAGAGTCCAAGACATGTTGCCAAACTATAGCCTGCAGGACAAATTTGGCCTACAACCTGTTTTTGTACAGCCCGTAAGGTAAAAATTGTTTTTACATTTTTAAATGGTTAAGAGGAAAAAACTCAAATGAAGATAAAATATTTTGTGAAATGTGGAAACTATCTGAAATTCAAATTTCAGTGTCCATGAATACCATTTTATTGGAAGTCACTGCTCCCTTGTTTATTGCCTACAAAAGAAGAGCTGAGTACTTGTGACAGAGACTGTGGCACTATCACTGCTTTGTACTGCTGATCAGTATACCACCAATCACCGTCACTTAGTTATAACTCAGGCCACACAAAATCACTGCGGCATACTGTTATTATTTCCTTTTTATTACCAGTGCATACCAATCACATCAGAGCAAGAGAAAAGCAGACTATGAATGTCATGCTTTTAAGGCATAATGGAGTATAAATTATCACGAGATGGCAAAAATATTGTGTTTATTATACAATGATACTAAAAGAACACAACAAACATAGACATTGCCAGACTAAGTACTCATCACAATATTCCCTACTCACAAGAAAGCAGTAGTCAGAAAAATTTCAAAATTTAAAACGGAATATCTCATCACAGCCAAATTTCTTCACAAAAATGAAAATAAGGCTGCAAACAAAGGTAATCTTCCAAGTGGCTCATTTGTTAGCCAATCAAGGAAAACTGTGTACTAGTGGTCATTAATTAGCAGCTAATAAAATCTTTATTGCCAAATAAATGTGGCCAGAGAAAATAAACTTGTTTAAGTCTACTAGCGTTAACGTCAATAGTCAATTAAAAAACAACGCAAATGATTTTGAGTGGTATTCCTTGGTTCTTGATGACTTGACAGATGTTACTCATACTGCTCAGTTCTTGTTTATTTGAGAAGTCAATGCCAAGTTTGAAGTGACTGAAAAATTAGCTTCTATAAACAGACTGCATGAAACAACTATTTTCAAAGAAGTTGAAAAAATACTAATTCAGTATACCCTGAAGTAGCATCTGCTAAGATGTGCTACATGTGATGGTGATAAAACTGTGTGGAGGGCTGGCAAGTTTAGCTGCTTTGGTTAGAACATTGTATTGGTAACACCAAGATGAAGTATACAGATAGCCATACTGGCTAGCCACCGAAAAAAAAAAAGTGTGGAGAATTAACAGGATTTATTCAAAGGACAAATTTACAAAGTTTATACAAATATAAGCTATTTAAAGACTATGGTTATTCACTGACTTATTCATCAGCAGGTACTCTGTAAAAAATACTTTAATCTATCATGTTATTGAACCAGTAGGAGTACCGATGATGAATATCATTCATTCACTCTTGTGAACTTAACCATAGTCAATTCCATGAATTTTTGCTAGAAACAGCTCAATATCCTGACATGCGCAACCATGCAGTAGGTTGATGGCTTAGCAGAAGTAAAGTTTCATTGTATTTTATTAGCTCATGGTTAAGATTAAAATTTTCTAAATGAGAACAAACACTCAACCAACATTATCAAACACTGAATGACTTTGGAAATTAGCTATTGCTAGAGACCTGGTAATGTTTCTCAATAAATTCAACCCAAACTTAAAAAGCAAGACAGCATTTACATGTGAAATTCATACTGTAGTAAAGTAATTTCAACTAAAATTGTTTCAATCACAAGCAATGTCAAGCTGCTTTATATACTTCTTGTGCTATCAAAAATTACAAGAAACAAGATCTCCATTCCCATGAATTTGCAGATTTATTTTTGAGCTCACACCACCAGCAGCATTTTTCAGATCTCAATGTAAGTCAAAGGTAATTCCACATTTCAAAATTCATTTAATTGTGTAATTGAGGAGCTACCACCTAAACTTTAATTTGAAGCGATTAATCTGCAATGTAATCACATACTATAAGCAAAAGAATCTAAACAGAATTCTATAAATGCCTTCAAACATATACTTTTGGAATGAGTGTATATTCTGAATGAAATAAGTCTCATTACACATCAGTATTAACAGATGAACATTTGCAATCAATTTTGGTAAGAGAACACTGTGAACCCCCAATTAAGCAAAACGTTATCCCCCTCAAATGAAGTCCATTCCTTAGCATACGTGTATGAGAGAAATAGTGTCCTCAATTATTACTATATTTTTAATTTCATCAGTTAAAAATTCTGTGGAAATTTCTTTTCTCTCATGATGTAACATTGTCGGCCTTACATATCCCTGAATCCTGCAACCATGGATTCAACCAAGGATCAAAAATATTTGGGGGGAAAAAAATTGCATCTGTACTGAACATGTACAGACTTTTTTCCTTGCCATTATGCCCTAAACAATACTGTATAACAACTATTTACGTAGCATTTACACTATATTAGGAGGTTATTTAAAGTTTACGGGAAGATGTGCACAGGTTATATGCAAAATGCACTACACCATTTTATATCAGGGACTTGAGCATACTCGGATTTTGGTATCGGAAGGAGGTCCAGGAGCCAATCCCCCACAGATACTGAGGCATGACTGTATTCTTGATTCTCCCTCTTAGCTTACAAGGCCTAAAGTATTATCTGACCCTTCATAACCCCTGCTCTAAGATTTTACCTTCTAGAGTAAGTGCTTCCAGGGAAAAAGAAGAGTCAAGAAATTCGTCTTTACATGTATGTGTACATATATGTACATATTAATCAAACTTCAAAAAGTTGAGTAAGAATCATAATAGCATACAAATATGCTGATAATTTGATAGGCCAGCAGAGTAAATTCATTTTTGCTGTTTCTTGTTTTTCTTTGTTCAAAACGTTAACATGGAATATTAGAATGTCAAACCATCAAATTAAAAATCTGAGCGAAAAGTTACAAAACTGATTTTTTGTTTGTTAGACAAAAGTTGTTACAATGGATAACCGTGTTATAGGAAAAAAAGAAATAGCTTATTAGTCAGAAATCTGACTAAAAACTCCTGTCTTCTCTATAACATTTAGAGTGGGAATAACGCTTCTCAAAAGATTGTCAGTAAGAATCAAATGAAGAAGCGAGTAGAGTACAGGGTATTTTTTTCTTGATTTAAAAGGGTTATTATTCCAATTTTTATAAAACCTGGTCCAAATCCACAAACCTCGTGATACCCACTGTATTCTTACAAGAGAACACACACTACTGTGACCATCAACTATTCCTCCTATACTGATTCTTCTCTCAGCAATGAATACTCTAAAATTCCTCACGTGGCACCTCATCTTTCCACTTCCTCGGCCAAGACACAGGCGTCTTTCAAAACGTATCCAGACCCTCTCATTCAAGTGAAGTGCTCCATGCCTCCATTACTTCCCATTTATGTGCCAAATATTAGGACTAAAATCATTATTCTGGCTAATGTTGGACCTAATTCACGGATAAAACATCAGCATATAATATCTGAATAGTTGAAAAAAGGGCATCCATTTATAGATTCTAGTCTACAGAAAAGTGGACAAAAGTAAATTCCTTACCCATTTACACATCTGAACCTCCAGGAACTTAATAAGAATCAAAAGTAAATTCCTTACCCATTTACACATATGAACCTCCAGGAACTTAATAAGAATGCAGATCTTAAACCCCATCATGAAAGACTCTGCTCCACAAGGTCTGATGTTAAGACCTGAGAATCTGATTTTTAACAAATCCTGGCAACTGCTCTGATACAACTAGTTTATCCCTAGCCTCAGGACTGATGTTTGAGAATCCACTATCTGGATTACAAAACCAGACTAAAACCAGGAACTACATATCTATGTGTTCCCTTTGCACATCAGTTTCCCTGCTGAAATGGGACCACCACCCACTTCCCCCAACATCATCTTATGAAAACACAAAACTATCTCTGGAAATCTTCAGTAACCCTTTCCAATATAATGCACACAAGTGACTAATACTAATCGTTACATATTTAAAGCTTAAAAAAAAACTTACAACACAAAAAGATAATTCATAAAAGGTACTCACCAAATACACACACAAAAGCACAAAGAACAATAGTGTAAGCAACGTTTTCGTTATTAGTGAGGACAACAAAGAAAAATTCATGACTTGTTATATAAGCATACCTCCTACTCCAGGCACCAAATTTGGTGCAGTGGTACTCTGCCCAGCAGTGCCAGTGGCAGCACTACCAGCAGTGCCACCCACAGTGCTGGTGGTGCCGCTTGGAGCTGATGAACTCTGGGAAGCCTGTGGAGCCCATGGATTGGGTAATGGATCTCTATTTTCTGTACGGGAAGGTTGACTACCTTCACCTGAAGATGAATTACTCACTAATGAAGCAAATGGATTACCACCAAACTGTAAAAAAAAAAAAAAAAACCACAAAAATCATAAATGAGCTCTTGTTTTAAATAACAGATACACAACTCTTTTTAAACAAAAATCACAATCCCCATCAAAGGCATCCCTCAATCACAAAGACATCTGTGTTTACACCGGAGCTACTCTTCAGCCTGAGCCTTGGATCACCTGCTCTTGCGCAGCACTCAGCATTGGTTCCTGAATATCCGTGTACATGCGACGTAAAGCATTGTATCCCCCTGGGATGCTTTCTAGGTTGCTCAAGGCTCGGTCCTGGTTTCTCATCATTTCCTGCATCATTGCTGGATTCCTGGCAAGTTCCAATGTCTAAGAAAAAGATTTCCATTTTTAAAAAAAGGGCACTAAAATACACACAAATTACTTTAGCTACTAACTGCTGTTAAAGTTTATGGGAGGCCATTGTTTTGGACTAGTCTCCTTTAAGCTCCAGAAGACCAGACCAAACCAGAATGGAGTCATCTATGCTATGTGCCATATAACCTAACTCAACTTTGAAACACACTACTTAAAAAAAAGATAATTATACATATTTATGTGGTACAATCTCATGTTTTGATCCAGATATATGTTGTATAATAACTGGGTCTGGGTAACTAGTATCCCCAACCACCTGAATGGGCTCAGACATCCAGGCACCTGCACAATCCCAGCCACAGAGGCAGCTGCTGGCATCCACCAGAACTACTAAGTCTGACCAGAATTACTGAGTCTACCCTGAAAAAGTGAGTCTACCCAAAACTGCTAATACTATTCAGCCTGCCTGGAACCAAAATTAAAACACCGCGCTAAACAGGAAATGTGTAACAAATCTGTAGGAGGAAGTCTTTCTCCTCAAAAATGACCCCAGAATAAAAGAAGAAGCAAGAGTTCCACTGGATGACTAGATATCAACATAAGGATAACAGAAATATGAATAAACAAGAAAATATGGCACCACCAAAGTAATACTATAATTCTCAAATATCAGATCTCATACAAGAGAAAACACTTGAAATATCTAAACAGAAAATCCAACCAACAATCATTAGGAAACTGAGTGAAGCAAAGGAACACTCAGTTAGATGATACAATGAAATGAGAAAAACCATCCAGGTCATCAGGGAGGAAATTTAAAAAGGAATAAATACCATTAAAAAGAACATAACAGAACTTCTGGAACTGAAAGACTCATTCATTGAAATAAAAACTACAATTGAGAGTGTAAGCAGCAGTCTAGAGCAAGAAGAAGAAAGAATTTCTGATTTAGAACTCAGTTTTTTGTCTTCAATATTTAAATCAGAAAAAGAAAAAATTATTTTAAATAATTCCTGGTGGGTTTCACCTCAAAAAGCAAGCTAACACTGAAATAACATCAAGAAGAAAGCACTTTGTTATGAGTGAATTGCCTATCTCCAGAATTGGAGCTTTTGTTTCTTAAACCTTCAGAATATAGTTGAGCATCACTTAATGGAGGGAATATGTTCTGAGAAATGTGCCGTTAGGCGATTTCATCACTGCGCAAAAGTGTATTATGAAAGGGAACAGCAATGACTACTTAAATTATCTACACTGGCCGCTAGTTGCATGAGTATGGGCCCTCTAAAGTCTCTTGTGCCTCACTTTTTAAATGAGGATTGGAATACTACTATTCACACAAAATTATGAAAATTTAATTACAGACAGGGATTATGCCTGGCACTCAGCAAGCACTCAGGTAATGTTAGCTATTATTAACTATTATTTTGCTATGGGGATAGGTGGGAATCATTTAAAAATGCAAGAATTCTAAAGCAGACAACTCTTTCACTTGGGGTCAGAGCTAATGAGTCAAATGCTTGGCTTTCCATCTTAAAGGCTTGAGCTACCTTTGGGAGGGTCACCCCATAGGTAACCTAGGAACCCCTCCTCAACGTATTCTGCAGTAGGTTTGTTTACACCAACATCACCATAACACCATAAACACACGAGTAATACATATGCTAGGACTTTAAGACGCTAGAGATACGAATTTTTCAGCCCCATTATTATCTTATGGGACTACCCTTCATATATACGGCATGACTATGAACTGTTTACAAAGACCTTTCAAATGTAGCAGAAAATTCAGAGCTCAAATAGTTCAAATTAGTGCTCTGCTGAGAGTTTTCCTAAACAAAGATTAGGATTTCTCTCCTTAGCTAAACAGTATATATAGGGCAATGTCTTTAATCATAGAAAATTAAATAATAAGAAATAAATACATAACTTTTTAGCTAAATAAACTAAAAGAACTCTCCACATACCTGTCTCATTATATCTGGATTATTTAGCATATGACTAATTTCTGGATTTCTCTGTATCAACTGCTGCATTTGTGGATTGGCCATAATTAATTGCCTCATCAGGTCAGGATTTGAGAGCATGCTCTGGACGAAAGGGTTTTCCATGATTTGGACCATCATTTCAGGGTTGGACAAAAGTTGTCGCTGCATCTGGCTCTGTAGTTCAGAGAAGTTGGTAGTATTCAAACCCAAGCTACTCAGACCTGCAAGTCCTCCAAGGCCACCTACGAGGATTGGGGGCGGGAGGAAGGAGCAAAGGGGAGAGACACATAAATTAAAGTCAGAAATTTTATCATTAACACAACTGTGCTAAAATATAAAGATGCAAAAACATTAATTGATTCAATAGTCTTTCAAGAGACCTGACAGATTTTAAGCAGAACAGTCACTTAAGATGTTCTTATTCATACAGCACTATGGAAACAAACCAGAGCAAACATTACAGATGAAAAAAGTTGAGGGCCTGCATCCAGGGAGCAGCAATCGGGAATAACTACAAGGGGTGGAACAGAGAAGACATCATGGGTCAGAGACTCAGGAAGGGAAACAGCAGTTTGAGGAGCAAGACGATAACTTTTTACATTTGTTTTCTGGTTTTGTTTTCTGAGGAGATAGAAGCTACAAATTACTTAGAGAACATCAGGGACTATTAGGACTTGATGTGAATGAGCTGAAGTACAGACATGAAACTCACCAGGATATACTCATAGGATAAGATCACTCAGGGAGAATAAATTAGAATAAAAGAAGAGAAGTTAAGGCAGAACTCTGCTGAACGATAACAACATAAGGAACAGGAAAAAAAGAAACCCACAAATGAAACAGGGAAAAAAAAAAGTCAGAAAATTAACCAGGGAAATAAAATAGAATCATAGGAGCAAAAGAAAGAAAATTTCAAGGAGAAATTTATAAGCATTAAGAGAGATTGATTTAAAATCTAAAAAGTGTCCGCTAAATGTGGCAAGCTAAGAGGTCAGTGGCAACCTTATTGAGGGAATTCTCAGTGAAGCAACGGAGGCAAAAAAAAACAGAATGCAGTGAACTCAGTGAAAGGAAAATATAGACAGAAAACAGAAAATGCCTTTTCCTAAGATAGCTGAGAAGGGTAGCAAGAGAAAAGGTTGTAGTGGAATTATGTGGCTTTTACAGATGGGATAGACCTTAATGAGAACAGCCAGTAAAAAGGAAAGCTAAATGTAAAAGGTAAATGGAATAGCTGATGGAGAAAAGCCTGAGACAGAAAGAGGGAGTGGGAATGAGACTAGAAATGAAGAAATTAGGGAGCTGTGTGGTCTCAAATTAACTAAAAGCCTCTCCAGGCTTCCATATCTTTGTCTATAAAATGAGAGAAAGGGGAAGAGATTTACCTCAACAGTATCTTTCATGAGTCTGAACACTAAATAATTTAATCTCTTAGACTGTTCATGTTAATAATTTTGCCATCTGAAACTCATCTGCCTCAACCAAAAGAGACACATTTGGCATAAGATCTTTTTGGAAAATAAGAACAGCAAAACTAAAATAAAAAAAAATAAAAATTTTTAAAAAGCAAATGTGAACCTCTGCCAACTTATACCAAGTCCTAAATGCGTCCAACATGTATTTCATGTAGTATAAGTGAATTACTAAAAAAACTTTTATGGAAGAGAAAAAAAGTATGATCCTTGATATGTGAAAAGTGTGCATAGGAAAAATGCCATTTCAAAGTACTATGCTAGTAATGCAATTTAAGAACTGAAAGAGGCATTACCTATCTATTTCAAACCTTCCACAGAACCTTAGTATATAGAACTGATACAGGAAAAGCTGTTTTAACTGATGCAGAAAGTCCTTAACCTTGTTCCTGGGCCCTAGCCCTATCATATGTGTTCAGGAGAGTTAAAATATTAAATAAATATCTAATGCATCCAATCCCTGTATTTTACAAATGAGGAAATAATTATTCAGGGGGTTGGCTTATGATCAACAAT